GTCAATAAGCAAAATATGCGTTACTAACCCACACGTACTCCATGAGTCAACATTGCATCCCGAACAAATTACGGGACTATTTCTTATGGGGCTACGTCAAGTTCATGGACTATGCCAAAAAGCCAGCGACGATTAATGAACGTCCTATGAATATCAAACGTGAAATTACAGCGGTATCGGCCGATTTATGCTTGGAAACCGTCGAAAATTAGGTTCAGCAACTGGACTTCTGCAAGCGTTTCCGTGTTGGCTATGCAAAAAAAGTCGAGTTTCATACATAATGGCAGCGAGTGTTCTTTTACAGGAATAACGACTTTCATTGATATTCCAAACCGTTTTTGTTTTGTTTACAAAAATTTTTGTAGCGCTCTTATTGAAAACCCCGTTACATGATGTATCAGATATAGATCAGATTTCACCTAAAGCCAGTCGGCGCCACGCCCATTGTCCTATTTTTTTTTTTTTCTTTTACTTAATTCGATTCGTTGTACCAATTCCGATTTAAAGTGGGCGGCTCCATTTTCCATTACGCCATTTTCACCTTGTATGTATATAAGGAAAAGTTAAAATCAATTTTTCTCAGAATGTTTGTTTGATATAGATTTAGTGGTTTTGAATATATATTCGTTACCCCTGTTATAAGAAAACACTGATCTTGTTCAACCCACTCATATAAGAATCAGATAGACTTGTGAAACCAATTCGCATCGATATGATAACTCCTGGTTGACTTGACATGAACTCTGGACCTTATGAAGACTGAATACAAATATTACTATAACACACCCTTGAGCAACATGTGGAAAGAGTCTAAAGTGGATTGTCTAACAAACAAATATATTATATAAAAGCCCAATCTTAACAATTAAAAGTAGTATTTCAAGCGTGATTGCAAACTATGTATATCCTTATTTTCTTTCAATATTTTGCATGATATTTTTTTAATGAAAAAATGTGCATCTACTACACCTGACTTCTTTTGTCAAACAAAAATTAAATTTTATTTTCAGTCGTTAAAAGAATAAGTCTTAAATATTCAATAAACCAAACATTTCTAAAGGTGAATAATTTTATTTTAAGGCATTTGCCACTTTATATTGAAAAATGCTTAATCTTCATCAACTAGGGAGCACATGATAAGACAATGCAGTGGTCACAGCATCCACTTGAACGTTTTGCGAGCCGATTTGGTATACGCCTAACAATGTGTCGTCAAACTCATAGCGATCAAGTGATGGAACGCATTGGGAGGCGTGAAATTGTCGGCTATGGCTGGAATGGCTCGCCTTGCTATCATGACCGCTTAGATTATCCGATGCCAGCAGTACGTTTCCGAGAACCTGACCCTGAGATATGTGCGTTGCGTGAGAAAGAAACCGGCGATTGGCGGAAATTGTCCATAGACGAGAAGAAACAACTTTATCGTTACAGCTTCCGTAAAACATTTGCGGAAATGAAAGCTCCTACCTCCGATTGGAAGTTTTCTCTAGGCGCAGCTTTGATTGCAATTTCGATTGGTATATGGCTATCACAATCTTATGCTCATGGTATTTATCCGGAATATCCTGAAACATTCGAAGAAAAACGTCGTAGTGCACAATTAAAGAGAATGATTGCGCTGGAGGTTAATCCGGTTACTGGATTAGCTTCCAAATGGGATTACGAGAAGGACCGCTGGAAGTAAATTGTTTTATTAAATGTATACTTAAGTTCGCCAACGGAGGAGACCTTAATCCTCAAATTAAAAAATTTCTATCGAATATAGTCAAAAGTGTTTTATTTATTTAATAATTTTAAAATATTCACAACGTAAGTCCTCACTTTTTAAAGTCTGTATCATATATTTACATACATATCGGCTTTTAATTTACATTTTTGCAAGTTCGGTGGTATGTCTGAATGTATGTGCCCTCAAATTATTAAGTCTTGACCTACGTAACGCGAGACAGCCAAGAAGGAAGTGTTGAGTTGTTTCCACCTAATCTTCTTCCATACCGCTTCTGCAGATGGCGTCTGGTAGGATTCCCAGCCTTACTGCGTAGATGAAAATAGGACAATGGCGTGTTAAAAGCCCCAAAACTAGAGGGATGCTAGCCTTACTGAGGTCAAAAAGATCACTAGATCTCTTGCGAACGCTTTTGGACCAAAAGACTTTTGCGAGAGCGCATATACCAATGGTGGCCCAAAGCTGACCAAGCTTCCACGAGAGCCAGCTATTCAGTAATAGAAGAAGATACGGGAGCACAGATCCACTGCCATTCTACCGATAACGGTTTGTAAGGTACCTTTTTTCATGAACTTTACAGTTTCGTGCGATTCCGCTGTGGTCTACCACTCATATCGGTCTTATCACATAGACTCTCGATGCTATTGATAGCGAGGTTAGGTCTTCGTTCAGCTCTGATGCTAGGAGGATGCACTCCAGAGTAGTAAATCTACTGCTACCTTAAGGGCTACAATCTCGGTCTGGAAGACACTGCAATAGTTAGGAACTCTGAAACTGGAGTTCATGGAGATTTGCTGTATGTAGACCCTCCACCAACCGTGAAGGAGCTCACTGTCCCTCCTCTCCAACGGCTTCTTCCCACCTACAACTCCCTCGGTATATGGGTACAGAAAGAGCCGCCAAAGTTCGGTTTAGTGACTCCATGCTCCGGTATGAAGTCAAAGTGAATGAGGTTTTCCGAGAGTTCAGCCCCTTGCACTCTTAGGAATTCTGCAGCCTAATCTTTGCATACGCAAAGTTTAACAATAGCTATAACGAAATGACAACTTCTGCAGCACCCAAAAGCTTTGATTCCAGCAGACTGTTCTTACTTTTATGATAATATACCTTTTGAATAATTAATTGATCATAAATTATTTTATTGCAGAAATGAAAATTCAAAATAACGTAAGACACCTACCATAAAATTTGCTTTATTTTTTCTTTGTATTTTATCTAAGATGTACTTATAGTTTCATCTGAATTCAGATTTGAAAATTTGGTTTCAATATCTCAAGAGGTTTTCTTTTTACACTGTTTTTTGCTTCACCTGTAAACCAATGAAAAGTGAAGTTACGTTATTTCGCATTTCAGGTGACGATATGTATGTATGTAAATGTAAAATTACGTCAAGCCACAAGGACTTCTCATGTGATATAGCGAAATTTTTCTAATCATATAACCTAAAGTCCTAATTTTTTTTTGTTTTATTTAAAATTTTAATCGGATTTTGGCATGGGACTCCATCTCAACTTAGACCTTCTTACATGTTTTCCAGCAATAGTATCTTATTATTTATACACGACTAAAACGTCTAGGTTTACCTCTTTTTTTAATATCATAATCTGCCTTTGGGATTTGCTGCGTGGATTTCGTGGTTCCATCAATGCATTGAATATTTATTACGTGGATAAATATGTCAATATATATATGTACTTGTGAATGAGTTTTTAATTCTCAAAAATGCATCTAAATATACATATCGTCACCTAACAAGCGTAGGAAAAACGATATAAAAGAAACCATTCATATTGAAAACCAAAAATTGAGTTTTGGTTATAAAATAGTTATAGTATATTTATTATATCTGTCTGTGGAAGCTAATCGAGGATCTAGTGAATCGAAAGCAATAAAAAACTCAATTTCGAATTTTTTGATGATACGTTGTTTTGCATTTTGGATGACAATATATAGGACATACATAAGGCTTTTGCAATATAATCCAACTGCAAAATTGTGCCTCCACTTTTTGTAAGTTGAGTATGACAACTGATTTATATTTTCCGTCATTTATGCAGTAGTGTGCTGACAACTCCAAAAAAAAAAAAAAATTCACACTTTATGATTAGTAAAACTGGAGCGTTACATGATAGAAGAAAGTGTCTTCATTATTGAACCATATTTAAAAATAATGAAAAGTTGCGACTGATTTTTCGAGCAAAATAATCTTGGGCGATGAAGTACATTTTCACCATGATGGGTTTGTTAGTCGCCAAAATTTCCGCTTCCGCTGTGATCAGACCAGTTGCAGATCAGTTCGAAAAACAAATATATCCACCACGAGTCAATGTTTGATGTCTTTTTTTCTGCTGGAGACATAATTGGACCATAATATAAAAAAAACAATTAGGCTGGTCAAGCTCAGACTGGTACTGGTGTTCGATATCCCGACATAGAAACATAGTTTATTTTACCGAAAATGGATGATATTGATGATGATGGCCAATAAGTGATTTCAACAAGACGGTGCCTCGTGTCATAAAGACCGTGAAACACTTCACTCACTGCATGAGACATTTCCGGTTTGTGTACTTTCTCGTTCTGGTGATCAGATTCAGCCTCCTAGATCGTGTGATCAAGTCAAGTCTAATAAGCCCACAACCACGCTTGCTTTAAAGGAGGAGTTTCTGAATAGTCATGGAAAATTTCAACAAACGAATGCATTTAGTATGTGTATGGAAAGCCGTGAAGACCATTTGCGCGATCTGTTATTTCGTAAATGACTCTATTAAATGTATATACTTTGTGATTCAATAAAAGAACTGCATTCGAAAGACTAAAAACTGTGCTTTAATTTTAATTCTTTTCTTGCATTACTTTTGAAGCACCCTTTAGTTTATAACCAGTTGTTTTTCGTACAGGGTATGAATTTAATTCTCACGTTTTTTGCGAATTTATTTGTTTACTTTGACCTACTGATTTAGTTTATACCCAACAAAAAATGTACATAGATAACAGCGGCAAAAATAATCACAACAAGAGAATAGGTAAACAACATGAAGCACAGCAGAATAGTTTACTAACACAAACAAATAAGCTTCGCGCTATCACTATCGTGTGCATGGGCATGTGCGCGCTAAGTATTTTTCGATAAGGAGTTAAGTTTTCAAAGAAATATTTTAGAATTTTAAGTGCAGACATACTATACAAACATACATATGTACATATGTAAGTAATTACACTCAGCTTATATATTCGTTCACTCCTAATTTTACACTTCAACGGCTATTGAACGTGAAGTATACGGTTTCAGAAAGTGGTCAAGATGTTTCTTTGGAAATTCGAAAGCTAATCCTAGAATTATATCTATGATCATCATCATATCATCCTTACTATGGAACAAGAGAACAACGCAATATAGTAGCTTTTGTAGTCACCAATTAGAAAACTAGCTCAGCAGCATTGTGCTAAAACGTGAAAGAGTCAATAAATAAAAAGATGTTCGCAAATAATTTGGAATTGGTGTATTTCAGGTGTAAACAAACAACAAGGGACTAGACTTCGCCAACCTTCCCTCCGATAAGCTTTGTCGTTTTGAGAGAACGTCTTATTCAGCGATAAATCAAAGTTTAATATTTCCGGGGACGACGGCCCACCAAAGTCTGGAATGGCTGTAGGGTGCTTGTCCGCAGCTGGAGCTGTGTGAATGGTTTGTACCAAATAAACAATGAAGGCCTAAGGCGGTGAAATTAAGTTACATGGGGGCAGAGAAAAGAAAATTAACATTGCTCAGATACTTGAAAACATTTAAGCAATTTTATAAGTACATAACTTAGACATTGAACTACATATTCTAAGGTTTGCTAGGTAAACGAAAGTCATTATATGTATCTAGTATATGGAAGAGAGGGTATTATTATGAATAAAAAAAAAATTCCCAAATTTAATTAATACATCTGACAGATTTACTGACTCAACTATTTGAGAAGAGATATTATTCAATGAACACATTTTCTACATATAGAGAGTAATTTATTTCGATGTTCCTTACTTTTTTAAAGAAAAAACACAGAAACTTCAAATTTAATGGCGAATATTTATTATCATTCTCAAGAACATCCTCTGACATTTATTTTTTGAAGATTATATTTTTCAAATGTTGTACGCCCCAAATCGTTTATCCGTTGAGTTCACTTTTCGATGCTTTGTTCGAGTATTTTGGTTGGTAACTGGCGAATGACACGTGTAATGTTTTGCTCCAAGACCTGCAACTATTTTTCCGCGTAGACTTTATACTTTACATATCTCCACTGAAAAAACTCTAACGGTGTGTTTTTACACGATCTTGGTGGTCAATCTATTGGTCCAAAACGTTTGATTGTGCGATGTGTAGGAGGTCACGCCGTCATATTGCCAAATGTCACCATGATCACGAGCTTCAATTTCAGGCAAATAGTTATCATGACGCGTTAACGGTCTCCGTTGATAGTAATGTTCCCACCGGCATCACCGGACGAAATATGGACCGATGATTCCACCGACCTACAAACTACAGCAAACCGTTGTTTTTTCTGATTGAAATGCCAGCTCTTGAACGCCTTCAGGTTTATTCACATACCTATTTAACCAGAAATGAGCCTCATCGCTGAACGAAATTTGACTCGAAAACGTCGGATACTCTTGCAACTTTTCAAGAGTACATACATATAGCGAAACGATGTCGCTTAGGAAGGTCGAGCGGTTTCATTTCTTGCACAAGCATACATTTTAATTTAAGATTTCGATGTAAAATGCGCCAAGTCGTTCCATACGTCGACTCTGCACGGTCTTCGTATACACTCTCTGCGGCTGCTATATAATATTTTCTTCACTGCGAGCCGGACGTGGTATATTCGGTCGAATATTAGCCAATAATGAATGATGAGTGCGAATCGCAACCGTCCGACTGTGGTGCTACTTTAATATTTGTGAAAAATTAAGATTAAATGAACACACATCCTATATATATTTTCTATAGAAGTTATTAACTATTTGCCTTCAGAGCCATCGCATTCGAGTTTTTGACATGAAATCGGTGATATATAATAAGATCCAAATACAATATGGACTTATACGCTTTCACTATTGATAAGTACTTACTGAATTACATACATATGTACATATTCGCGGAGAAGAAGCCAACCATGGTATTTACTCAACTTTTTTATTAGCAAAGCATCAACATTAAACAGTACAATTTCACACCTGTCTGTGAATCAACTTAGTAAACCGCTTTTTCTCATGTTTTTACATATGTACATATATATATATATACATATGTATATATATACAGCTTAGGAAATATTTTTAAAGCAAGGAGAAGCATTGCGAGTAAATCATAAAGTGAATAAACTCTAATTGCGCAGTAGAAGTGAGTTGGCACAAATTCACCGAAACACCCACTTTAAGGCGGTCATCCCATGTGACGGGCTCAAAACATCGATTTTTTTTTATTTTTCACAAAATGGGTAGTAAAGTGATATTTCAAAATGCGAGTTCATTTTAAGGGTACAGCAGTTAGAAGAAGCTGTTCGGCTCTTCTTTGACGATCTTGAAACTTTAAACGCGTTTTTCGCAAGAACACTCAGCGCATTTGAACGCATTAAATGATCTGTTATCAATCAAAGAGTCCTAAAATTTCGATTCAGTCCTTCCTTTAGGCTTACAGATTAAAACGCCGATAATTTTTTGATTTCGAATAAGCCAATCAGCCGGAATCGTGGAGGAAGCGCGCGGCTGTTTAGAACCCTGTAACACATATTCTATAAATTTATATTCATACTGCCGATATATATATTAATAAATGATAATCAACTTAAAGCTTTATCTCTTTACTAATCGGAGGAAAAAAGTCCCTAAAAACAGGTCGTCATATTAGTTGACCCCCTTTAATGTTGTGGTCTAAACCACCACCTCTTTAAAGTACACCCATACACACTTGTTTGACAACGAATAGAAAAAATGCAACGCAATAACTTTATAATCGCAGTTCGTTGAGTCAGAAAGTGATAACAAAGCAAAGCTAAATATTGCACTTTTTTATCTGGATCTGATAGGTTTATCTATTGATAAGTACTTAAGGCACTAACACATAAGAGGAGCGCACCTTCATTCTTATTTTGTTGTTTTGTATTTTCATGTTTTATTATTATTATTATTATTAGAAAAAGTCTTTTCGAAGTATCTGTTGTTGTTACTTCACCCTTCCCGTTATAAAATCCAAGAGACTTTCTCCATATCAGTTAATTGTTTAAAATAGAGGAAACTCCCTCATGGTTGAAGCCCACAACCCTCCAAGTTGGTGCTAGAAACTGACACTGCCGATTCTGCTAATAAAACGTTTACCAAAATAGGCTCTCAAAAGATCCGCCTCGTTTCCTTGAAAAATTATCTAAATAGTAACAATTTATTCCCATATAGTAAATGAATTGAATTCCATTCATCCTGAGAGCTATAAAATGTCTTTATCCCAGAATTGTTATGCTAAGTTCGATATCGAAAACCATTCAGTATATCCACAAGTTTACTAACGGTACATACCTGTACAGATATGGAAAGGAAAAATGGACTGAAGTAAAAGCAATTCAACCTAAGTCCTTCATACATATTTGGTATTATGAATTTCAACTATTTTCAGTCGAAGTTTTATTGTTGTTGAGAATATTTGACAGATAATTAAACAGCTTAAATTTTTCTAAAGGAAAAATCAAAGCAAACATTAGTTTTGATTTATTTTACGATGATAATAATGACCATGACATTCGAGCCAAAACTGAAGTGCTGCACATGCGAAAAAGGCGTCGTTATCACTTAAATCCACTAGTACTTCCTAACCATTTTTCTTCTAGTCAACCCCATTGGGACAGAGTTGAAACCGGTAATACCACACAAATGTTAAAGTTTGACAACACTACGACTAAATTTAAAATTTTATTTTTACGTATTGCGTTTATATCAATAGCATAGAAATTCAAAACTTCAATCAAAATGTAGTCGAATTGAAAACTGTAATAGGGGCTGTCATTGTTGTTGTAGCGATTACCTATACCTCGTTTTGGGGAAAAGCAATAAGTCAGCTGTCATCGAAGTCACTTAACGGGAGGGCCAGGAAACGAGCAGTTTCGATTGGTTCGAGAGAGAGAGGTTAAGTGAGTTGGGTTTGTGAGGCATGCAAAGAGGTGATTATTATCGTGTGGGGACTCGTTACATGCTGGACATAAGAGAAGGTCGAGTTATACTTTGGATAGGTGGGAGTTTAACCTGTTACAGTATTCAGAAGGAGGCTGCATTAGGGTCACTCTTGTTTGACGCGGCAACTCGAGCTCTTGTTCAGCGATTGGTGGTGTTTGAACTCCAATACGCAATTCACTGGGAGAGAGTCAGCAAAGGTGTTAATAGCTTCACTATGAATGGCGTTCAATGCCTGTCGAATATTAGTGATGTCCGAAATGTGGTCGGTGTATGGTTGTGTATCGTCGACTTATTGGAGGAATGTTCTCCTGATGTTCGTAGGAGACGGTTTGTCTCAACCAAGTTCCTTCAGGGATATTTTCTACGAAACATCCGAACAGGAACTACTTAGAGAGGAGGGTGTTATGCTCCTTTACAGGTAGCATGAGGACCTCACTGTGTATGTGCTCGATGGGAGACATCAGGAGACATCCCGTAGTTGTCCGGAGTGTGGTATTTGGACAGGTTTGTATCTTCCCCATCTGCAACCTACTTCAACGAAGCGACAATATTGGTGTGGCATAGTTCATAACAGGCCGAACGATAGCCTTGTATGTTGCCAGCAACGTGTTTTTGTCTTTCCCCTCAAGTGCTGCCGGCTAGCGATTTGAGGATATTGTTGGGGCTCTGTATTTTAGTGACAATCGGTGTTGTATGCGGAGTGAAGGAGTGCAAATGGAGTCAAATATTACTTCTAAAATTTTAGGAAGTCGCCCGATGGAGCCCATTCACAGTCGGAATTAGAACTGCATCGACGAAAACGTTGAGTTCCAGTCTGTACTCATTCGTTCAGTTTATTAATGGGCTCGCCGTGGATTTAGCAGGGGAAAGTTTTAGGCTCCTAGCAGTGAGGAAGCGAGAAAGTTCTGAGAGATAAGCGTTACGTTACGTTACTTGCTGTTAATTCGATTAATTTTTAAAAATGTTTCACATTTTGAATTCCACATACTAGCAGTTTGTACTGATGGGATCCCGAGAAATATTTCTCCCACCATATTAATTACAAATTAAGTAGACGTAGATAAGTACAAACATAATATTCTATATATTACTGTATATTAATAATTTATTTATCACGTTTTGCCATCAATTATAATCTAAGACTAAGTAGCTACAATTTGTGTATGCATTATATGTATAAATGTGTGTGTGTGAACAGCAAAATTATTTTCGGATATAGTTATGTATTCGGCTATGTTTGACGAAATCAATAAACAATTTTTGTATGGAATAGCATATTTTATGGTGTGCCAGTGTTTCCGCGCTAAATAAAGCCACAACTTTATCTTAATAAAATCGGCATATAATCTTCCATATGCTGATAGTACATTCATATGTATTTCAATTATAATATTTATGATACATCTATAATGATAGTGTGGAGAAAATAGATATTGATATATAAGTGTATATTTAACATTCTGTTACACAAAAATTTGCTTGTTTTGGGAAAATTGTTTTAAGCCACAACTTGAATTCGGTACAATTATACATATTTATTTTTGTTTAAAAACCGAAACACAGTTTGGAGCGTTTTAATTTTATTGCATTATATATCATTAACACATTCTTTAATGTTTCAATCGGTTTTTGCTTCTTCTTTACGAATTGCTTTAAAGCTTTGAAAATTAAAAGTTTTGTAATATACATTTATATTGTTTTTAATAATTCACAGCAATCACGGATATAGAATTCAATTAGTAGTTAACGGGAATGTAATTTCGTAATTTTTGCATTAAAACTATAGCATTCCTGTTACAGCATTTTCCAAGTTTTTTGTCTAAGATAGCACTAATTTAACTCAAAAGGAGATGAAATGATTTCTTTTCTAAACTATAAACCTATATTAAAATATATAGCGCCTAATTCGATATTCTAACTGGTTGTATGTTAATTTGTTATTAGAGAACCAACGACATTTATGACGCGAATTTGTTCTTGGCAGTTTTTTATACACAATGTATTTGCATATATATGCATTATTTACAGTTTTATGCTATACTACCATATAATTAAACGCTCGCAAGCTGTTTACAGACTATATTAAAGCGATTTGATGTTCATTTTAATGTGGATAAATAAGTTTTCTCTTAGATTTTAAGCAATCGAACGAGAATTTAGCAATATTTAGAAGCTATTATTATTTTTGATTCTTTTAACTCAAGACTTTTAGTGCAACTTAAAAGTTGTATGCCGCTGTGCTAAGACTTTTAACAGTTCTTGCATGTTCACGTTCATTCGTGAGTCTTTCGTGTGATTTCACGTATGTATGTATAAATTTTTCATTGGTGACAGTTACAGTGTTATTGATTTGATCATTTCAATGTACCATAAGTTGATAAGCATTTTTAATATTTCCAAAACGCATTTATTGAATTACAATATTATTAGTCTGAACAAATAAAATTGAACTTATTGATTTTTATGAGTTGTTGTCATTTATAGAATTTATTTCAAAGTAATTACAACGGAATTAAAGGACTGCTCCTCAATATATAGCCAGGAAAGGTACTACAATGCTGCTTACCCTCTACAAGTAAATGATTAATCAATTTAGTTACAACACAAGTTTCATAAAATTTTAACAGTCGCAGCTAAGAGGCTTGAATATATGCAAATATAAATGTTTATATTCTTCGTTAAGCATTTACGGTAATACTTTAAGCCTTAAATAAAATTATTAAATATTGGATTAATTAATTAGTTGCAGAATTAGTTCCATCAACAGCTTAGAAAAAAAAATAATAATTGCAATAATTCTTAATTTTAAGCTACATCGTCAGCATGAAACCTCAATTATACAAAAACTGAAAACCGAAAATTTCAAAATTAATGTCTCAAATGAATAAGCAGCATTTAAGCGAATTTATTAATATTAGGTAGTATTTAAAATACTGCGTCTTTGAAAAGCAATATGATTATCAGCACACGCTTAGCCGGTAAAAGTTCAGCGTTAACCTCACTTGCAACTAATGCAGTGAAATAAGGTACTGCTGCCATTTTTCACCAAATGTGGACTGTATTCCTTTCTGCAATCATTTGTTGAAATATTTTACTAGTACTTTAAAAGCATGTTACGAATTTTAATGTATTTTTGAAACAAAAAAACAAAAAAAAAAAGCGACTGTAACATTCATAGTTTATTTGCTGCTTAACTTGTCAAGTAATTGCGGTTATTTGATATTTCAGGTGTTGACTTGTCATCATGAAATTTATAATTTGGTTGGAATTGGATTCCATACGCAAGTTAAAACGGTTTTACTTCAATTTGATTGATTTTGATTGAAGAAGCGCTAAGCTCACTCTATCAATTAACCTGCGTTCTTATCAAATACTTATTTCACTGTCATATAAATGTTTGTCCGTGAAAACTTTAAAATATCACCTCACGGTTCCAAACTGTTATTATCGGTAACTCTTCTCAACAGGCTGAGACGCATTTTCGAAACGTTCGCTTTAGAATACAATACTTGGGTTCTAATATGATAGTAAACGGTTTAAAATAAATTCGTGTACATACATACAAACATATAAACATAAATGTGTATATTTAGTAAATAATGTAGTTTTTGCTTATTTACAAGCTTAAAGCATTTGCGTGTGCTTCCTGCAAGTGAATATATTTAAACTTATACAGCAGTAGTTAATTCAACACTTTACCGCAATCAATCTTGCTATGAAAAATGTGGCGGGCAGCCATAACAAATGTCCTTGCAAGGAGTTGTATTGCCCTTTTGTTTGCTTCGTTGTTGCCTGCTGGCGAATGAAATTGGTGTGTATTATCGTCATTGTTAGTGTTGTATGTACAACAACTGCTGACTCTACCAAAATAAAATACAGTCAGGTTTTGAATTTATATTATATATGTATATTACTTGCTTTACACATAATATCAGTTCTATGTATGTAAATTTAATTATGTTTGTTCTTGTTGAGCTAATAAAAATGCACATAAAACTTAAAAATACATCGTCTCTGTCACGAATACACATAAAAATAAGCTTACACTCATTACACGTAGACACATAAGTTTATATAGTGTACCATACTCTTTAATTATAACAGTAAAATAATAGGTATATATCAATAATTTATCATTAACTATTATAGAACGAAAAAGCGGCTGGTTGCTCCAAATAGTTTACTTCATTTCTGAAGTTTGTAAGGACTGGTTGTGTGCTGATGTCGGAAACTATATGAGGGTATTTACGACTTGAACCGTTGAATCAGAGAGGTAAGCTAAACTTTCCATTTGCAGGCGCATCCAAGTCGTGTCTACAGATATTTGGTTAGCATGTAGTTTGTTCATTGAAAGCGCTGTATCATCAATAGTGCTATCAGCAGAAGTCATGCAAAAGTTTGAGTTTGTAGAATTGTTGTTAGCAGATTTAAAGTATCGGCAGTGGCAGTGACAGCAAAGACAGTTCAAAATTATCAACTTCACAATATGCGTCCATTCCTATTAGCTTAGCGACGTCGTCTGCGCTCTACGCTTTGATACTCAATTGCATGCGTTTGTGTGCTTTCATTTCAACATTTATCCAATGTGACTTTTTCATTTTGTTGCTCATTTATCCAAAAGTTTTAGTACGGTTCGCTGGGTATATGCTTTTCGTATCATATCACGATTCTGGAAATGAAACCAGCAAGACTTGCAACCGGTTTACAAAAGCGAGTTTCTGCAGGGCTTGTCTTGTGGATTAACTATAAGTGTTGTTTGCTTTTGTTTTTGTTATGTTTCTTTGAAAGTGTTGTTTTATGAAAATGTATTGAAAATGTATCGGTTTTGTGAGGTAGGATTTGGGTGTCTGCCAGTAGAAGTGATAGTGATAGATGTAGATTTATGAACGTATCTGCCATCGGTTCTGTATTTTTGTGTTTTGATCCTTAATGGTGTTAAGAGCAGGCGGTAGCAGTTTTAACTTAAAATCACATTATAACTTTAATTTAAACACATTTGCTCTATTGAGGTTTATAGCAGAGAGTCGCCCTTTTTTTAAGGATAATGTCAAAAGTGTATACACAAAATACATCTTAAACATTACCAAACCTTCACTTCAATTATCACTACATAACTCATGTCTAGTCACTAAAATACTTCAATCGCATTCACCAATATTCCTCGCAATATAATACCAATACCGATCTCAAGCTCATCTTCAAACACAATATCACTAACATAGATTGTATAACATCCACATTGTCCTCTGCATTAACAAGCACTGCATTCGCTCGACATCGCTACGCTTCGTCTCATCATAGGCGTTCTGCTCCATCATATAAATATCCACACTTTTGCTCAATCCCAGCCGTTTTCCTTGATCATGTGCGCCAATTCTATTATGTACTTGCCCTCTTTGTATTTCTGGCTACTCTCGTAGGCGTGTTCGTACTTCCAACCCAGCGGTGTTTTGCAACAGTCGCAGAATATGTCTGCGACGGCGTGTAGACCGGTGAGTAGCACGCGCTCCTCGGTTTGGCCACAGCCCACATTCACCACCGAGTTGAAGAGGTAGGCAGGTCCTTGACTACCCTGGAACGATTTCGAGATGAGCTCATCGTGGGACGCTAGATGCGCACGGCAATGCACGCACGAGTACGTTCGATTCGTGGACGGTAAGTAGGCTTGAAATGTCTTCACCATTTTATTTTACTTCACGCACCAAAGATTGCGAAAAGTGTAATGTATGTATATGCCGTCGCTTTGACTAGAAAGCGCTTGTTTTTTAGTTGAAACTTATAACGACGACTGCTGTTAAAGATTTGAGAATAATTTTAATTAACTTCGTTCGATCAAGCCAAGGAATTTAAAATAAATTTTCAACTTACCGTCCAGCGCAAAATTGAGTCTTCGCTTCGCTTGCTTTTTGAGGAAATCACAATAGCAACCGCACGACTGCACCGCTCGAGCGCCTTAAGTGCCACCAACGTGTGGGTATGTGTGCACTGCAGACTCCAAAGCACTTGCAACAATTAGGGCAACACAAACGGAGCACAACGACCACAACTAGTCAACAACATTCACTTCAGCAATGTGTGTATATGTATTTGCGATTCTGTTTAATTCGCGCGACCATTTAGTATGCCAGCTTGCTGCGCTATGGCTCAACAACAACTCAACGGCACCAATGGAGCGTTGCTCTTTATTTTGCCCGCTTTTCGTGTGCTACGCTTTGTTTTGCTATTTGCGGTCTTGTTTTGTTTTCGATTGGGCTTTACTTGTGGATTTTATTACTATTTATCTTATTTGTTTGTACTTGTACGGCGAGGTTGTTGCTGGTGTTACTGCGTTTGTTCCAGCTCTTTTTGACCGATTATTGTTATTGTTAAGTCTTCATAAATGCCTGTATGTCGGTAGTTGCCCGCATATGTCTGTGAGTGTGCACTCGGCGATAGATCTGCGATCTATATCTACGCCCTGATAAGTGATTGTTTACACTCTGCACCTACCTTGTGTCGCTGTGCACAACCTTATCAGTTCAAGAGCCACAGGAAATACATAAAGTACGAAGTAGAACAAAAAAAAAGCACCGTTTGTGATGGCACACCTCCCGCAATGGGTTTGTTGTGGTGTTTGTTATTATTGTAGCGGCACTGGAACGTTATTGTCTGTCTATGGATCTGAGGCTATGAGTTAGCCTTGTCACAAGTAAGCGTACAAAACACTTTAAATGGGTTGGTTCCAATCGAACTTGTCTCTGTTTATTTTGCCACTGATTGATATCAAATTTCCTGTAATATAAAAAGGTCAAGTGTGAGAGTTATTATTATTATGAAAAGTAGCGCAACAAATCACAAGCAATATTTACAAACAAAATTAATTATAATATTTATATTTTGTACATCCAATGACGTATATGTTCTAATTGAAGAGTGATCTTCACCTAATCTCTTAAAAATGAGGTACCTAGTAATTTACAAGGGGGAAATACTATTGATAACATTTTCAGCTTATTTCAGACTGTCAAGAAATCATTGAAAACATACCTTGTTCTGGGTGACTTTCGACCCCTTCAACTGATGAAAATGTTAAAAAAGTGAAGGATATGTTGCTTGGAAATCGATATCGACATCTTTCGCGAGTCCCTAGTAACCATAAACAGATCTCTTTTTTTAAATATTTTTTTTTTTTCTATATTCATGGTTTGGTGCATCATAAATTTGTTTTGAAAGGACATACGGTCAATAAGGAGTTCTATTTGGCCGTATTGAGGTCGAACCTGGTGCAGCCCTCTTGTTTGTATAATTTTTGAAAGCATGACCATTCATGGTAGTCAACTGTGAGCAATATTTCAACGTTCAGTCAAGTTCGTCTTGTCTTAAGTGTTACAAACAACCGTTAGAGGAATAAAACGGAAAAAAAGACAGAGATTAGCACAATCTAAACGACATTGATAAGGCCTAAAATCATAGTACCTAATTGCAGACCCCTCCTTCTGTCATTTATGTAGTCATTGGTGTAGGATCCGCTTGCAGAATACACTTCTCCACCAAACCAGCTGAATCAATTTGAAAGAAAATAATTTATTGAAATTAAGAAATCTTTTGTTTAACCGAACTATTCAACACCTTTAACAGCTGCGATGCTCAAAAGAGCACTATCGAGAATAGGTTCAATAACTTCAGACACGCATATGTATGTATATGTATATTTATTCTCATGTCTTCATATGAATGATGGGCATGATTCTGTAAAAGCTAAAGCCCCACAGTATCTGATCAAAATCATTTGTATTCAAGTATAATAACCGTGTGTGCAGAAGAGTCTATAAGAATAGGGTATAATAAATCCTGAACACGCATTTAGGTACACACGCAAAGAATAAATAATAAGTCGAGTGACCATATACGTACATATTTCTGTATAAGTGTATATGCAAACATATAACATAAGTACATATATAATATATAAATCAAACAAAGAACGAAAAAAATTTCTGTAACGGCAAATGCAACAAAACTGACGGAGAACTCGATGACTGCAATATTACAACAAACACGACAAATTATAATTAGAGAGCACAGATGGTAGACACAAAGGCAAAATATGGCAAGCGGATCAACGCAGCAAAGTTGCAGACAGAAAGCACCAAGAGTGGCTAATGACTTCAGAGGACAAAGAAAATGGATGGGTGAGGTGTGGAAAAGAGGTGTCTACATATGTGCTGAACAATGGCGTTAAACTAGAAAACTGTGGAGCAATGTACCCAGTTCCTTAGCAAACACGCTGCTGAGGTAAAGTATCAATAACAGTTCACAGCATATCTCCCAGCAAATCTTTGAGACTTTTGTTTAAAAAAATAAAAAAAAAAAAACTTGAACCTTATTGGAAGCCACACTCTAAATATTTTTGTACACGTAATATACTTCTATACATAGGTATAAATAAAAATTCAGGATCTATTAATGGAAGGAAATATGGACATCATCGACAATAACGCATATAATGTTGTTTTCTAACCCATTAATTTCCTGACCTTCGGCTTAAACCAGAATGGACATATAATGCTTTCTTACCGGCATGTACACACCATCTCAAACAGTATTTTTTTGTGAAAGTACATTGAAGTTGAACCAAAAATGTGGGTTCTCCTTTATGGGTGTAAAGTCTTCTCTAAGTTTGGCGTTCAATTCTCAGTTCTTTTAAATAAATGCTTCTTTACGGTTTACAACTGAACTCCATTTCGCTTAAAATTTTTAAACTGAATATTTCCGATAAAAAGTGGAGTTGGCATCGTCTTACAACTTCTTTGTGATACAATCGTTTACACAAATTAAAATTTTGTTATTTTAAAGTTGAATTGTCTCAGTTTCAACTCCAGTGAGTTGAGTTGTAAATCGTAAAAGAAGTATACTTGCAGTTTTTTATTGGTTTCTTTGGGTGATAACTTAAGTATACGGAGCATAAATTCAGCCTTTCTACATATGAACCTAGGAAGAAACTTCCTTACAAGAACTTTGTTGTGCCAGTTTGTATGGCATACATATGCTATAATGGCTCGATCTAAAAAATTTCTTCGGAGATTGCACCGTTAACTTGGAAAATATTCCATGCCAAATTTCTTGAAGATAGAATAAAGATTTCCTTGTAAGCTGTATAGCTAGGGTTTTCCAATATCGCCGGTTCCGACAAAGCTTATTAGCGACGGATGGACGGACAGACGGACGGACATGGCCTAATCGGCTCAGCTCATCATGCTGATCATTCTGTATAGCGATTATAAAAGTTTGTTCGTCACTTTTTTGGATAAGCGAATGAAATTTAATACGTATGCGTATTTTCGTATTGTATTGATCATTCGTCGGACAACTACACCATATATCTCCCATACAACCGATTTTTCTGCTTTTTTAGACATCGCCTTTAAATCGCTGGCTCGAAACCGGTTTCAGACCCAGCAAATTTGTTGAGACCCTCATTAATATACATACATACATTCAGATAATACATATGTGTATTTATATAAATTCATTAATATACATACATACATTCAGATAATACATATGTGTATTTACATATATAAATATGTGCTGCACATGTGGGGATTGAAATATATGAGACGAGCGCAAAATGTGTTGCAAATCACATTAATATTCTTCAGCACTTTATGCATTTTTAATATCGCATGCAAAAATGCGCTCACAAAGAACAAAGAAATCTGATGGGAACCAAGAATAGTGAGACAAAGCCAGCACAAATGCAACAGGCCCATCTGGTATTTTCGTTTTGTTCATAAAATTTTTTTTTTAAGATCAAGTATGAAGATACAGACACACACCATAGATCATATCTCTTAAGTTTTCATGGTACGGCTGAGAAAAGATTATATACCTCAAGAAATCTTATAAAAGTATTAGACTTCTCAGATCCACAAATATGTGTACTGACAAATCGATTAATATATGGAAAATCTCGAGAATTGATTACATACTTTGCTGTAGAGAATAATAAGTGTTCAATTTCGTCCGAAGTTCGGTACTTTGTATTTGCATATCTATACCGAATAAGCAACTGTCGAACGGAAGCCGAACACCAAAAATATCATGCTTGCACTAATAGAATATACTCATTGCATTTTAATATTCTCTATATGTTTATTTGTATCCGTCCTAGAGATAACTTAAAAAAGAAACTAAATTTTAAAATGATTTGCATATCATTTCAAATAGTTTTTATGCCTAAAACGAATAGATAGAAATGTTTATGTACATACATATGTATATATCAGAATTCCTGATAGATCATCCTTTATCATTGGTGCAGAGGAACAAGTTTTGGAAAGTGGGCCCCAATTTGGTTTTATGTATACATCTTACAAGCCGCTAAAGTTATATGAACCACGTTCCCTCATCCGTGGTACCCTCACACCCAGCCCAATATTATGATGAAAACTGAAGGTACCTTTTAATAATAATCATTTGCTTATGATTAATATAAGGATTAGATTTTCAAACTCCCAGTTAGTCGTACATGTTACAAGTCGGAAATTGGCTGACCGGTTCAATCTTGGGTAGACTTAAGTCTGGTGGCGAAATGCAAATGAAATCGGTAGACGAAATTTATGAATTGGCTCAACTCCATTTTGTGAAAATCCCTTACTTGTAGCTATATTATAATATGTAGAATATATTACAATAAAAAAAATTCACACTATATCATGTATTTTACTATAAAAACAATTATATTTTAATGCCAACGTTCCTTTTAGATGCCGTTATTTTTATACAGCATTTGTAAGCACTCCAAATAAGTTCACATGGGCAGACCTATAATTTTGTGCGCAACTGCGTTTACATGAGTAACTACGCTAAGTATAGTTAGAACACTGCAAACAATCGTAAAACCAGTAAAGACAAACACAATAACCGTAGAGGACAACGACACATGAAATTACACTATGAAAGCGTTTATGTCGAAGAAGAAGAGAGCACACACAAAATAGTTCGATGAACTCGGAAGATATGATTGCACAATTTATGAACGACAATACAAGAATGCCACAGTGCTTTGGACAGACGAATCTTAAAAGGATTGAACAATGTATATGCCTCGTAACATATGTTTTATCCGACTCAATATGAGAAGGCATTGGGTTCAATGGTTAAAATTTACAGCTAATCGCAGTTAGTCATCTATACGACGGCGACGTAAATTGTATTCTTCCGAGGAAGTGGTTAAATTACGCATACATGCATACAATAGACGTACAGCCAAAATGTCGTTACCACACAGAGATTTTTCGAACATAAAGGGTATGGTTGTATGTGCTTAACTTAAAAAAAATGTATAATACAAAACTTTAGCCGCGAACAAAGAACTCACGTTTGTTTATCAACTGTTTTGATGTATTATTTGTTGTATTAGAGTATAGTAATTCGCGCCCCAGTGAAAAATAAGCATATGCAATTTTAAAACGAAATAAACAAACACGAATATGTGCAAAAGAAAAGCAAATTTAAAATTATAAATTTGAAAATTCACAAATTTCACAGCTGTTTTCGCGATAGAGATGTGCGCAGAAGAGGTACAACGAGAACGCAACAAAACACGGAGCAGCGTATACGGAGAGAGCGAGCGAGCGATTCAACAGCAATTGTAAACAAATACAAAAATCAAAAACAGAAGAATAACAAAACACTGCAAATTATTTAGCACACAACTTTAATAAAGAAGAGCGCAGGAAGGCAGGTGAAAAAATTTAATCGTAGATCGCCGTCTGAAACCTTACCAA